AGAAGGACAATGAAAGCCAATGGAATGGTCAAAAAGAAGAGAGCTTAGAACTGTCATGGAGAATTAGAAAATATAGTCCACAACACTAGAAATATAAAGAGTGATTGAAAAGAATAAGCTTCAGTGGTCACAGCATACTCATCATCCAAACATAGAAAATTCAACAAAGAAAATGAGAAAAGTTAGAAATGGGGCATATTGAAAAGAAGTTAAGTACAATATTAGTAGAATATTAATGCTTTTGAAAACATATACCACACCCAGCTAGCTGTCAAGAAAATCTCAACTCATTAGTCACATTAGAAAGAAGAAGCCAAAGGATATACTATAAAGTCAATAATGATGAAGGAAACCAGTTCTTTTCGAATAAATTAATAAACTTTCCAAGAAAAAACGTTTCAAACTCAGCTTTGAACACCCTGTCTACTGGTACAAAAATGGCAATGGTCAACATGGCGTGCATAAAACTTTCTGGTCCTTGTTGACAAAAAAGAACAGCACGAGGGTGTGAATTACGTTTCCCACAAGGAAAAATTGCAGTTCCAATAATTGTTTTTATGTAACTTTTGACAGATATGGAACTGCTATAGTCTACAGGAATAGAAGTGGATTAAGCTAGAGAATTTGTTGTAGTACTAGTTGGGGCTCACTTGATGCGGTTTTGAGTTTGATCACCCAAAAATCATGCTGCAATGATGAACATTTCACTGTTGATATCCACTTATTGGAAATTCATCCAAGTCACTTACAGGTACCCAAAGGTTAAAATTTTTAGATTTGAGTGTGAAGGTATTTAAATTCCGAAAATGAAAAATGAAATATACAACTTGAGAGAAAGCTATCTCGTATTATATAATCTAAGATCGTATATACATAATGAAAACGAAAATATTTTTTTTTACCTAATTCAACTCTCTAAATTAAGTAATTTACAGATGTTCTTAAATACTCAAGACCTTGTTATCATATATTGCTATATCCCAAATTTTCCCACCTGAGCCGACTCCACATGTACTGAGGTTGGTTTGTTAAGTACTTTCAGAAATTGGGCTTGAAAGTTGAAGTTGTTAAGTCAGACCAATTTAGAAACTGAGAGGAGCTGGCTCATTGATAAAGCAGCCCTGGTCCAACAAGCCCTAATTGTAAATAATTATCTGCGTTATTAAGGCTTGACCAATTGCTTCAGATGATGGAGATTGAAGACCTTTAGCCCACCTACAATGACCAATGAGATTAACAGGCTCGGGTTGGGTGTGGTGGTTACTGCAGCTTAGAAAAAGTTTGAGACCCCAAATACAAAGCTGGGTGAAATTTGGGCAAATGTGTTGAAACTTTATTTCACCGAAGGCCGCCCAATGATCAGGGCTGGCTCTTGTAAATTGACATGAGGTTGCTTTTGGAAACATTAAGTTCATATTTAAAGCAAAAATATGACTGAAACAAGGAATTATAGCAAGACCGTGTTAACTTAAACTAGTTGCAGCAACTGTGATGATCACTGTGATGTTCAATGAAGGAACATTGATCACACATGCACATGTATGTCAGGTTTTGAGCTATTTTGTCAGATAAAATGTCATATGATGATACAAGTAAAAGGGAAAAAGAAGTTGCCAAAGATTGATGAATGATGACTTCCATTCCTCTCCGATCATGAAATAAAGTTTTGATCGTATCATCCAGCAACTAGTCCAACAAACCATGAAATAATTAACATCTAGCTTTCTAGCTGACTTTGGATTTCAATTAAGATTACTCGGTTAATGATCCCTGTTAGTTGAGCAATGTTAGTAAGTTTTGATCACAGATGTTTGGTGGTTGAGCAATGTCTCAAATCAATTAAAGGATAATAATAACCAATGATCAGAAAAGGTTTAATGGATTAGTTCATTCACCTCGATAGCAAAAGCTTTTGGATTTGAGCATCGATGATCCTTCGTTGGTGTTATCCAAATTAAATGGATGCCTCCGCAAGAGAAGTGGGAAACCGCACATCTGCATTTGAGCACCTATATTTTACACTTTTTTTACCCTCTATGATCACTGTTCCAATTATTTAGTTGAGTTCCAACTGCCAACAACTACATAATAAAGACAAAAGAGGTGGTTGGTTGATCGTTTCAACTTCAACAAACAGTTTTGCTGTGCATCACATGTAGCCCATGGCACTGTGTTTCCCCTGCAGGAAAAGCTACAGTTCATTTCCATGGTCTTGTTTTCCTTTCTTTTTGGGTAACATGTAGTGGTTGATCTCTATGTTACTTAATTTTTCTGGAATTTGGAAAATCTTTGCCTCTTCTTCATTCCATGGTGGCAAGACAAAACTCTTAATTTACAGGGTTTTAAGTACCTTAAAGTCATCTAAATTCTTAGGTTAAGGATGACGAGATTGTTAGATTATGTTAAGCACCCTTCAAATCCACATCATTGAGGACCTGTAAAGTGGAATGAAACAAGTAACTTTGGGGTATAATTGAACATTTCTTCACCCTCTAAGGAATCCTTGAATAACTTTAGGAGGGATGCAAGTTTCATTCCATTCACACTACTTTTTTCCTCCTATTGGATGCTCTAGGCAGAATTTAAGGCAAAGTAATGGACAATTCAAAAAGAAAACTTATTCCATATATAGTATATTATTTTATTGTGACAGGACCAAAGCAAAAGTGGGGTTTGGCCTTGGAAGGATTCCAAATGACCGTAGAAGAGCTTTTCAGAGAGAGTCTCTTTCTCTCCTTCCATTTGTTTTTGTAGTGTGAACTTGTCTTTTGCATCCCGGAAGAAAGAATAAGAATATTGGAAAGACTGATATTTTTGGAGGGTGGGTGGTGATCACTGGACTGGCCTTCAAATTCCCTTACCTCGGGATCAGGAGGATAAGATTATGTGTGGTTTAATGTGCCAATATGGTGGGCTGAAAAAACCTACCAATGGTTTCTATATTCCCACCTGTCACAGCTCTGCAGATTAGAAAATCTCAAGAACCTCCTAGAGTGATGCGGGTGATCCCAGATGCTTCCATTTTAATTATTGTTTTCTTTTCCTTTCTTTTTAATCAATTACAATATAAACAACTTTTTTCTTGTTCATATGATCTTGCAGCACATGATGAAAGCTTGACACTCTCCCATGACACAAATCTGTATCTTGTGGTTCGAAGCTGAAATCATTAGATTTAAATCTCAAATTCTAATTACTAATTAGACATCTTCATCAATAAATAAATTTTCATATATTTTGCATATATCATTAATTTTAAGGTGTGACATGATATTGATTAGTTTTAACATATTAATATCAACTTATATACAACGGATGACCAGTGATTTGAGGGCATAGAAACTTTCTTTTTCCAATTCAATATATAATTGAATGAATGTAAAATTAGAATAAATTCAACTATGCAATACTTGAATTTAAAATCTTATGATTTTATGATCTCTTCGTTATCATTAAATTAAAATTTCATTGGCACGAACGCTATAGTCAATATATTAATATTGGATTATTGAGCAGTTGTTTAATCCAATTAGACATTTGAAAGACATTGGCATGCAATTTCGTAGCTTATATAGATTACTGAAATGAAATTTATTGTCATCACTGTTGGAGCATGTAGCTGGGTAGTCTCTAGCTAAGCTTCACCAAATGTTCAACAAGTACTGAATAGATTATATTAGAAATCCCAAATTATTTGAAACCCATTTGTCAACCCTTGAATTAATTTTGATTTAATTTAGGAGGCAATAGGGTGACCCCATTATTTCAATCAATCCGTTGTCTTAATCGAAATATCCAAACTAGAAACTATCGCTCCAGGATTACTACATAGATGTCAAAGCCTGTATAATAATACATTTGGTCCCATTATGAATTTCTCCATTATCTTTTAGTCTTTAATTTTTGTCCAATTGTTCCAATGGTGAGTTACAGATTATAGCCAAGATTGTAAAGATTTCTTTGCTTTCACGTTTTGTAAAGACTTTCTAGTAATGTGATTGAGGGCTAAATTCAAGTGGTAACTCACATTTGAAATTGTCTCAACTTCAAACTTATAATTGAGCCTTGATTGTATTTAAAGAAAAGCAAAAGTAGTATTAATTAAGATTTATGTCCTAATCACATTTGAAAAAATGCACAATTTCTGCAAAGATTAATTGCTTAAAATATTCTAAACCGAGATGGTTACTGCTCCAAGTAGAGAGAATCATATTAATTATAATTCTCTTTATTACAATACTATAATTAATTAATTATAATAAAAAATAATGTAGAGATCAATCACTAAAAAAGTGTGAATTCCATATAATTTTTTCATGAATCATACACAATACTGAATTATAATTGACTAATTATATTATAATAATTATTTGTGATATATACCCTAAGTAAAATGTAAATTCGTTGGAATTTGAGGCTGCACAGCTTACTCATGAATGTTTTTCAAGCACCTCGAGAGAAATGAGAGAATATTTTTTTTTTCAAATGAGGTTATAGCCTGAGATTAAGAAAAAAATTATAAGTATTATGCTTTAAACCTCAAATTTATTGAATAAAATAAGTACTTGAATTAAATTTTTAATTCAACTAGAAAAATAATTTACATGCTGCTATTGCTTTGGTAACTTCCAAGGTTAAAGTTTGAAAGGAATTAGTCTTTGGCAATATTTTTAAGAAGAAAAAAGAGTTTGTTGAAGAAATTTCTCAAATTTTGTAACTATTAACTTAATAGACAGCAATGACAATCCTTTAAACTTGATTCTCGAGCTTAAAAACAATGTTGTACAATTGAAAATTTTTCATTTTATTTCCTTAATCTAAGTTTTTAAGCTCCTATATTGATTTCCAATTTTGTTTATAATCAACTTGATCAGAAGGCTCGAGCCATAGAAATCCAAAGACCCCCCAATTTGAACTTTGGTTCAAGTCAAATAAAAAACTCGATCTTCCAACAAAAAAACTAATAGGACAGATTGAGATGATGTTGCTTTAATTCAAAAATAAAAAAGTTTAGGAAGAGAGACCTCTCAGTGTTGATCAAATTAGAAAGCCTTACATAAATTAGAGGTTCAATGCCAAGCACAGAGTCTAGACAGGTTGAACATGAAAAGTTATCTACAAGAACCACAATCAGAGGATAAAGAAAATACAAATACAAAACAAATGGAATCAATTGGATTGATTGTTCTGCTTTATAAAAACATGGCTCCATTTCATAGATTATATCAAAATTTTGTTGGATGAGAAATGTTTAAGGGCACAAAAAGGTGAAGAAGCAGAATCAAACACCAACACATGCAAACCATTTAGATTTACATAAAGATACAGAAAATTTTTTTAAGAGAAAAGGTACATTAAATATATATTCAAATGATAACAGTTTTCTTAATTTTACACTCGACCTACAATGATGCAACCAAACATAAACTTGAAGCTCTCCAATGGCCGTTGCTAGGGAAAAAAGTACCAGCAATACCTGACCTCTAGAAGGAGATACCTCTTTCTTACACATATTAACATGATACAGATTCTGAACTGATAACTAATTAAAGCTCGTTAGCACCTCTACAAATGTCAAAAATTTATTGTAGAGACCACTTGAGACACTAGAAAAAGCCTAAATGACAAAATATACTTGGACCTAAGAAAATACAAGTAGATTACATGATAGTAGTTGTATTTTATTTTCCTTTTTTTAAGACTCAGATAGTTCCCTGATGGCTTCCCAATCAATTTCCACTGAAGGGTACTTTTCCAAACCGAAGTTTTCGTTGTCTTCCCACTTTGAATCAGAGAAATCCAAGAAAGTGATATCAGATTCTGGTGAAGATGATCCTGCCAATGACTCGTCGGATAAATCCGGGGATGATGATGATGACAGTGAATTCTCCACTTTAGTATCAGAAAATCTTGGAGACTGCTCAAACTCCTCACTCTTTACAGGGTAATTAAACTCAACCTTAGTCTGTGCAGGAGCAACACTGTTAGGTTTTGAATCGGAAACAGAACAGGTCTTTCCTAAATTCCCTTGTTTCTGCAAGCTCTGGCAGATGGCCTGTAGCTTTGCATCAACTGAGGAATGGAGAGGCTTGTAATCACCAAATTCTCCACAAACATGAGCTCCTTGGTGCTTGAGGTGTGGGAAGTTGAGCCTAGCAAATTCTCCTCTAAGCTTGTAAGCAGCCTTGTCATAAGCCAGAGCTGCTTCCTCGGCTGTATCAAAAGTGCCAAGCCAAAGGCGGGTTCGGTTCTTGGGGAGTCTGATTTCAGCTACCCATTTGCCCCAGTGCCTCTGTCTCACTCCCCTATAGAGTTTTGTAGGCTTTGGAGGGGTGGAGGAGACATGTTTCATAGGGACAGTTTTTGGTGAAAGAAAGTTAAGCCTGGGATTTTGAAGGGATGTTGTTGTAGCCATAGAAACAAGTTGCTGTTGCTGCTGCTGCTGCTGCTGCTGCTGCTGTTGTTGATAGATTTGGGCTTGAATTTGGAGAATTTGAGAAGGGGTGAGTTGGTTAAGCCCAATCGAACCCGTTTGCTCAAAACCCATCATGTTGTTATAATTAGAGAACCCATGATTAGAAAACAAGTGGGTGCTCGATGGGGAGCAAAATTCAGGATAAATCTCAGGCTGTGAAGGAGAAGTGAGTTGAGAGTAGGAGTAGGAAGGGTAATAAGAAAAGGAAGTTTGGGAAGAAGGAGAAGGATAAGATGAAGAAGAAGAAGAAGAAGAAGAAGAAGAAGATGAAGGAGAGGTAGATGAAGCACTTTTCATAAAAGGTTCAAGTGCTTTCATTAACTCTTCTCTAAAAGGATCTGAGAAAACTGAGCTGCTGCTGCTGCTGCTATTAAACATATCTATAGCTGCTGCCATATCCCAAAACTAGTTAAAACAACCTGTTTCTTAGCCAAAACAACAGAACAGGCAATAGTTTGATAAAAACCAACCTTGAGGGACCAAAAACAAACCCTCTTAGCTGATGAAAATAAAGATTAAAAGTTTGTAACTAAAAAAACAAAACACAAAACAAAAACCTGGATCTCTATTCTGGATCACCTGGCTTTCAAAAGAAAAAACAACCTGGTAGGCTTGTTTAAGCTTTGTTTTTGACACAATGTTTCTCAGCTTGAAAGACAGATGATGACAGAAAGGGATTCAGAGAAGCGGGGAATTACAGAAAAAATGGGGGAATTAAGAAGAAAACTTAAATGATCAAACACTCTACAAAATCTGAAAACTCTCTCAATTTTTTTTTTGGTGGCCTCACTTTGGTGTTTACTCTCTTGCATTTCCAGGGTCACCTTATCTCTACTTATATAGCCCTCTACCTAACGTGCTTCTCTCTCAAATCTCACGGAATTTTCACATTTTTAATTATTTTTTTAATAATTACTTAATTTAATTAATATAAATTTAATTTATCACCCTCCTCGTCAACTTCAAAGATGCCTTTATTCAATGGGGGGACGGAAGAAGGCAACCCCCAATATGAATTTGCCATTTTCTTGAAAAGGTTGAATGGTAGCTGTCAGGATAACCCTCAATGAGAATATGCAAAACGGTGGCCTTACACGTGCCAAGTTTTGATTGGGTGGAGCTTTTGCTGACTGTGAATGACATCAGTGCTGGGCTCTTCGTTCATCTCCTTTTGGATATTAATGCAAATTTTTGTCCTTTGTGTTGGTTGCCACTTTGCCACAGCAATCAATAGTTTTCATGGTTTATCACGAACTTTTGGGCTGTGATTCCATGTTTTTGGCATCATACTTGGAAATTTGAGAGCAAAATGGACCTTCAGATTTGTCTAAGAGAACTTGTCATTCATCATCGCTTAATTGAAAATAAAAAATTAGATAATTTTGTAATTAGATTATATATTTTTTCACTTTAAAATTAACAAGTGAAATAGTATTCAAACATATTGATTTAATAAATACGCATTTCGTTTTTTTTAATTTTAGAAATAATTAGAGTGTTTTAAACAAAATCACTTAGATTTGCTTACAGATATAAAGAAATAGAGTTTTTAACGAATTATTCGTAAATATATTTAATTTTTATTTATTTATTAAGTTTAACAAATGATGTTGAATAATATTTTTATCTTTATTATTAAATGAATTAAATATAAATAAAAATATGTTCAGTTTATTTATATTTATAAATAAATTCATTTAAAACTTATTTACTTATTATTTATTTATTATTCGTTTACTTTTTATTTATAATAATATTAATAAAATTATATTTTTAATTTTTTAATTTTATTTTAAAATTTATTTATATTTATTTAAATTCATTTATGTTCATTTAAGATTTGTTTAATTTAATTTATTTGATTATGATTTATTTATTATTAATAAATATATTCATTTATATATATTTGTTAACATATTGATTAAATATTCATAAATAAATTTGTTTAATTTAACTAAATAAACACGAATAGAATATAAATAATTTATTATTTAAATAAAAAATTTAAATAAATAAAATAATTATTTTAACAAACATAAATCAAATATTAATATTTTAAAAATAAATGAATAAATTATATTTATTTATTTATATTTGATTCATTTAAAATTTTAAATTTACTCAAGTAATCGAAAAAAGTAATTGTAAGGGGACTAGGACTGGTGATGCTGCTGAAATGCAAGGTGACAAAACATCTAAAGTAAATCATTTTTGTTTTTTCGAATCATAAAGTAAATCATTGTTAATTATTATCCACAAAAACAAAATTCAATCAGAGATTAGTAAAAAAAAAATTAATTTGGTCATAATTATAATTAAATCTACAAACCCATCTCAAGATTAATTATTAATAAATCTCAAAAAAATCAAAAGTGGATATGGTCGTTTGTGAAGAAAATGAAGCGAAGAAAAGTTAAAGTTTTGATGATGTTTAAGTAAGAGTAAAACCAAAACTAAAACCGAAACCATGGTTAAGGTTGTGAACATAAATTAAAAACTAATAATTTATTTATAAATTTAATATTTTATAATTTTAAATGTAAAAATTAATTTAAAAAATATGTTAAATAAATATAATAATTAGTATATTTATATTATATTAAATATTAAAATTTATATATTTTTATTATATTTTATATAAAAATTATATATTATAATTTATATCGATATAAAATATAAAATATATTTTTTAAAATTTTATTAAATTTAAATATAATTATTATTAAAATTTTAAATTATATTATTTTTATATTTTATATTTATATCATATTTATATTTTTTTATTATATTTTATTTTAAATTATCCTGTCTAATTTTAAGTACTACTAAATAATTAAGTGAAAATGGGTGCTATCATGTGGCCACTGACGACAAAAACAGGGAGAAGTAGAGAAAGAGAGAGAAGATAACGTTAATTGCGGCGCCAGCGTGAGGGCTGACAGAGAAAAAGACTTTAAGAAAGAGACGATTGGGCGAATGGGCATCGGATTCTTAACATTTGTGAAAGGTTCAAAAGCTGATGGAACCCCATTTGCTTTTTTTTTTTTGTTTTTGGTTTCATCACACATTTCTATGGATCTCTTTCTCGTGTTAATTAACTAACCCTGGTTAGTGTCGGCTAAATCAACTGTAATAATTAATAAATATTTGAAAAAAAATGAAATAAATGTTTTTTTTAGAGAAAAAAAGTTTTAATTTGTGTTTTGAAATAATAGTTTTTAATTAATGCATTGAATATATGATGAAATTTTAAAATTATTTATGACTGAAAAACATTATCGAAGTAGTTTATAAGCATTAAAGTTGATTAGATTAGTTTATAAAATCTAATCATAAATTCTATGTAAGAAATTATATAAAATTATATATAATTAAAAATTTTTAATTTTAATTTTAAATTTATCTAATTATATATTAATTTGTTAATTTATTTTTTATTTAATTTAATGTAATAAATTCTTGTCGTATATTAGCATTCTATTTTTGGTTGTAACAATAATGGAGATTGGGATTATCATGGGAAGCTCCTGAATGAATCGTGATTTTTTTTTTCTTTAAAATGTTCCAAACCCAGGAGGTGGGTACGAAGGTAACCATGGTTAATGGACAAGCAAAGTCAAAACGTTGAGAAAGGAAAGAGAAGGGGGGACGGGGAATTCTAAAAGTTGCGTAAGAAGGAAGCGAAAAGAATCCGAATTCCCAAAATCTCAATTCCAAAGCAAAGAAATTGTTGGGTGTGGATGGGCGTATGGACGTAGACCCATGGGTCCTACTTTGACGCGTTTACACGTCGTTTCCTACGTGGACATCACTTCCAAGCCACTCAAAGTTCCTCCACGGCTTTTCCTTTCTCAGCTTTTTTAGGTTTTTTTTTTTGTCTATTTTATGATGGATCATTGGATCGGAAGGTACAAATTTATTCTCCTATTTACTGTTTTAACATGACTGATTTAAATTTATTAATACTATTTAATTGATATAATTTTATTACTATCATATTTTTTTAGATATGATAATTCAAATATTTATATAATATAAAATATTAAAATTTATATATTTATATTATATTTTATATAAAAATTACATATTATAATTTATCTTAATATAAAAAAATAAAATATATTTTTTATTTTAATTAAACTCATATATAATTTTTATTAAAATTTTAAATCATATCAATTTTATATTTTATTTTTATCAAATTTTAAATTATCAGATTTTTATTTTTATTTTTAAATATTTTTTTATAAAATTTGTGATCTTTGTACGACAACTTTTTTTCATATGGAAAGAATAAAAAATAAAAAAGATTTTTAATTGTAAGTTTGGTTTTTTATTACCTTTTGATTTATTTTTTAAAATTATCATTTACATGTATAAATTTTCATTTTTGAGTTAAATTATGCATATGCTATGAATTATTAAAACTATATTGAAATTAATAAAATAAAGTAATAGAGACAAGCTAAATATGTTAACTTATATAAGACCACCTTTTTTCACTAGTTTTTAAATTTGTAGATTTTTCTTATTTTGGTGACGAAATCAATTTTGGACTCAAATTTAGAAAACTCAAGATTAATAATACATTAACAAAACTAATCCCAACGGCAACATTTTAAAGTTTAGGAATGCCATGAAGGACGTGGAAACCAGTTCGTGGATAAAAAAGGGCTGATTTAGCGACGGCTGGCCTAACTAGACTAATCTTTTTTGCTTTATATTTTACATCAACTTCTCGTTTCATGTTTTAGCCCTTCGAAGCTCTTTAACACCATTTTTCCCTTTAATGATGTGATTTTTCTTTTTGTCTTTGGATTAGGGCATTTACCTTTGTATTTTTTTCCTTTTGGACTGACACTCACCACATCAGCTAACATCAACTTCAATTCTTTTGAAATTAAATACACATAATTTTTCTTTTTCTTTCCTAACTATTTGGGATTTAGCGAAATGGAATTATTTATTAGAAAGTTAAGGAATTTTCTTTTTCCTTTTGCACGTCAATAATCTCATTCGAGGTGACCCATCTTTGTACTATATAAAAATCACAAGTATTATATATATATATATAACTAAATTTTCTGGCTCTTATAAACTTGGTTTTCTTTTTTTTTAACAAGAAATAAAATAAAAGTGTTAAAAATGATGTTATATAATAAAATTATGAAAATAATATTATTTTATATTTATTAAATTTTAAATTTATTTACGTTTTTATTAGAGATGATAACGAGTCTAATCGAAATAAATTTTTATTCACTTTGAATCTATTTGTGTCGATCCATATATGTTTAATCCATAATAGATTCAATTCGAAATTAATAAAATTTTAATTAAAAAAAATATTTTTAATGTAAATATAGCATTAAATAAATAATAATAAAAATAATATATATACCAAGTAGATGTGAGATAAGCTGAACTCTTAACTTTTATTTTTTTAAATGTCCAACTCAACTTCAATCTTGATTAAAAAAAAAACAAAAAAATCTTATAAGAATGAGTCGGATTGAAACGAGATGAATACGGGTTAAATTATCAACTCTAGCTTTTATATTCAAATTAAAATTTTTTAATTATTTTTTTGTTAATGGTTTCTCCTTATAATTGATTTTACGATTGATGATTAATATCATATCAAAACTTATATCTAGGGATGAGAATTCAACCCGACCCCAACGAATTTCGACCCGACCCGACCCTATGAGGTCGGGGTTTTTTTTTTTTTTAATTTCGGGTTTCGGGTCGGGTCGGATAATGTTAAGAAATAATCGGGGTCGGGTTTTAGGCATATCCTACCCTACTCGACCCGATATTATTTAAAAAATTATTTTTAATTAATTTTTTAATATTTATATATATATTTATATAATGATATTTTTAAATATTTATATTTAAAAAATAATATTTTTATTAATTTCGAGTCGGATCGAATCAGGTACGGATTATATAGTATCGGGTTTGGGTCAGGATCGAGTATGAAAAAATTAAAAAAAAATTCGGATCGAATCGGGTCGGATTTATTGATGATAAAATCGGGTCGGGTTCGGTGCGAGCAAAACCCGCCCCGATGTCAACCCTACCTATATCCTGATATGTAATTTTTACTTTATACCTTTCTTTTATTTTATTACATTATTAAAGTGATATTATTTTATATTTATTAAATGTTTAAAAAAGTGCTGATCTATGAATATGTAGCTACTCTTTCAAGGAAATGCATGGTCAATTACTCAGTTTCTTTGTTTAGTTCATGCTATACTTAAGAAGCAAAAACCCAAAAAGAAATAAAAAGAATAAGTGGCTTATTGGTTTTTGAGGGGACAGAGCACGTGCCCTTTCACGTTGTTGTTTTGGGGTTTATAACTTCATGTGCCTTCGTTGTTAATCTTTTGTTTCCCAAAAACTATTGTTCTTTTTTAATTTCTTTTGTTCAATAAATTAGGCCAATGGTCTTTTTTTTATTCTATTTTTTGGGCGAATTATATAAGCATGAATGAGTTAATTTCCATGACCACCCACGTTCAACATCTTGGTCCATGCAACGGCATTTTGTCATTTTATTTATTTTTACAAGAAATTTGATTAAACAATTAAATTTTGTTTAAACTTTATCAAACACAAATTTAAATTTGGCGTGGATTAAGTGGAATCTTAGGATAAATAAGAAAAATTTTTAAATTTTATTTAAAATTCAACTCAATTAATTCATTCATTCATACTTAAAAATATTTTATTTAACAATCTAAACTTTAAATACCAACATCTAACATATTCTGTCCTTAAATTGCTGATTCTATTTCAAAAAATCACTTGTTATAAAAGCAGAAAGATAGGTATAAGATACCTAATACTTTTTAGTGACATAATAATTTCAAAAAAATAAATGACACAATACGAAAATATATAATATGAATAAAAAATATAAAAAATTTTAGTAAAAAATTTAAATATATTTAACAAAATAAAAATATATATTTTATATTTTTATGTCGATATAAATTATAACACATAATTTTTATATAAAATATAATATAAATACATAAATTTTTTATATTTTATATTATATTAATATACAAATGATCAAATTTACCTTTCACATTATTTTTTTGTCTTGGTTATTGTATTGTATTATTAGTTATTATGATTTACTTAAGACTTAATTTGTTTTTTTATAGAAGCCAAGAACCCAATTCGATCCCCATTCAGATATGCATGAATAGATGTCTTTCAACTTGATGGATGCTCTTTTGAGTCTTGACTTTTGAACCCAGCTGAGCCCTTCTTCGAGGTTCAATTATTGCACAAAAAAACAAAACAGATACCCTTTACCGCAGCTTCTATTTTGTTTGAGAGGGGCAAACTGATGTTATTGCCCATACCTTTTTCATTTTGCATACGTACGTTAACATTGCACCATGGTAATGATGCTTATAAGCTTGAATATACATATATAGCCATGCTGTCGCTGTTACACATTCCTTTTCCATTTTAATTTCACATTCTACTCTTTTATCACATAGTTTTACTTTTCGTACACTCTTTGTATAAGAATTCACTAAACTTAAGCAAATATATCAAGGGATTAACATTAAAATAAAAAACCCTATTTTGATTTTGCTTGTCCAAAACAAATTAATCATATCATATATATATATATATACATACATATATATAATTCGTGTTCAAATAATTTTTATATCAATGTAGAAAATTATTTTTAGCCAACCAAATACTCATTAATCGAAACTAAAAAAAAAGATATAATTAAATAATTACATTGGCATTGAAGATTTTTTTTTCTCCAAATAATTTTATAAAAATGCAAAGCCATTACATGGCCACTAATTGAGAAATAATTTTTTTAATAATCAAACTAATCAATTAATTAGTTGACTTTGAATTGTTGACGTGTAGCTAAATGTCAACTCTTGTAGTGTCAAAAATAGTGGTTGAGATCATCTCAATGATGAAGCAACAAAGCTGGTTGGCAAAGCAATGTGGCGCATATTTGAGCAAAGCACGGCTTTTTTCGTTAAAAAAGCATATTTTTTTAGTACAAAAGAAAGTATAATTCAAAAATAATAAAAAATTATAGATATTAAAAATTAAATTTAAATTTATTAAATGTCACATCTACTAAAATTATATAAACTTTATCATTGAACTAAATACGCAAATTTATCAAATAATGCTCTTTTAAAATTAAAATGGACTTAAAAAAAATGAAAAATAAAAGATGGTATAGATTATAATGCATCAAAAAGTACTATTTTATTAAAAATAGTTAATAAAATAAAGTTTGATGATCACCCAAATTTCTTAGTTTTGTGCTAAGGTTCAAATCCCCTAAAAAAACATAAAATTATTTGCTACTTGATAGTTAATACTGCATAATTTGGCTAAACATCTAAAAAAAAAAAAAGGATTAATTCATGGATGTCTGTCTTGTGTCATGCCTTTGGGATTCACTGTCAAAGCTTAAAAATTTCAACCACTGAATGCATGATGACCAAGGACTCGAAAAAAGTAGGTATGAAGAGTAAGATTTTTGAGTGGTCAAAGCTTTATCCTTCACAATAATACCCGATCTCAATTCTGCAGCATAGCATGTCAGATCATCTTCTTGTTGTAGGCCATGCATGTACCAAACAACACTCATCTTTTTACAAACCTTGGGCTCAAATAGCATGCATGGTTGTGTCGAATGGAAATGGAAGTCTCCATCTGCTTACAGGTACTTCTGGACCACCCTGTAGCTAAGCAAAACCAGCACAATCAAGCTCCATGTGCTATACAAAAGGCTAAACCTGAAGAAACAATCCAACGTGCAAAACTAGACTTTTTATTCAATGCTAAAATTTGACTTATAACCTATACCCTCTTTCACTTTAATACCTATCATTGCTAGGAAATGGACGACTATAATTACTAGGCTATTGATGATCCAACATGGGTGGATATCTGATGTTACAAGATAAATTGCATTTTTCAGTGCTAAAAGGGACCCAAATCTTGAGTTTGGATGTTGGCAATAGGAAAAAAAAGAAAAATACTGCTGCTATTGCCCTAGAGAAGATGTTTACTGGTTCATGTTTTGCTTCAAATGATAACAGCCTTGTCTATTCCTTTGTATTGCACAGCGGCAAGTTATGAAGAAGGTGCTCAGTGTAACAATGCAGAGAAAGGGAACCATTCTTGACGAGTAACATACTCAATTACATCTAATCTAACAGTTTAATAACCAAGTGCCATATCAAATTAATATTCATCTGAATGAATGATTTACTAAGATCATAAACAAATGACCGAACTCTTCAACTGGGAAATCACAAATTATATTTTCACAAATGACTGAACATGGAATTTTTGCAAATTTATATTTTCTTTGAAGTGGTCCCAATAACATTTCCTGTTATCCTTATTCTGCCTGCAAGCTTTTCTATATCACATTTTTTCCACCCAAAAAGACGAGTCATTGCTTATCCAAACCATTCTAAACTATTCTTATAAGGATGCCAAGACACCTATTTTCAACATGGTGCATTACACATGTTGGCAATAATGAGGGAGGCAAACCAGCAAAACCACCAGTTTCAGTTACTCATTCGCTAAAAATTTTCAATTCAATGCATCAAACTTTTTCTCCGCTAAAAGATGCCACCCTCTTCATTATGAATGACTAGACTCTCCCACACTCTATACTCACTTACCTAACCCACAATAAGTATAATAATGCATAATCAACTGAGACAAGGCACATGAACATTAATGAATGGTGCACAACGTCAAAGAAATCCACCCAAAGCAGTCATGGGCTCTACCACATGTAGAGGTAACCATTAGGTGGTGCAGGTCACCTTGGGTTTTACATTTTGTCATTTAAAGCTATTGACTTTTAAAATCAATCCAAGTTGGGTTTCAAGCAAGTCGGAAGATCTTTTGCGTTTAGATTGAATTTTATCACATTTTAGATAAAAAGCAGATAGTTATTCAATTCGAATTCAATTCAGAATCAAATTTGATTTCAAGTGCAGGCTTGAGTTCATTATCATTTCAAGTGCAGGTTTGAGTTCATTATAATTGATTATTCTAAATTACATGGATCATATTGGTTCCAAGCAAATTGAGCAGATCAATTGGATCAATTCAACATTTATCACCTCTAACCACACAGAATTACAGGACAAAGCAGAAGGCATAAGCAATCAAGTTTATAAGATGGGAGGTTCACTAAAATGGAAAATAGTTTTTAGCACATACTAAAAAACAACAGACATTACAAACTGAGATCATACATTTTACATTTTTTGACAATTGCAAAGACAATAGAGTTTAACAAACAAGAACCCAGAATCTGTTATAAGCAAACAGAGGTGCAGACATACAAATACAAATGACTGGATTTCCGGTACCAAGATGATCTTACAATCAGAAGAAGCATCGCAAGAACGCTCCTATTTCTCTGAAGGCATCCCTGTTATTCGCTCCAGATCCATCTTGCAATTCTCCCTCAAATCTTTTAGTGCAGTGTAACCGGCTTGCTGCCAAAAAAGTTCAATTGTATCCATCACATATGAGATTATACATGAAAAATCCTATTCAAGGTAAAGAAAGTTAGCAATCGTAAGAATTTATCCTGATAGTAAGTAGCCATGAACTCCAGCAATGAAGCATTGATTAGAGAGATAAGACTCTCAAAAGTCCAAAAACCAAGAAATCCGGATGAGGAACAAAATTCAAATGAGGTTTTTTAACCAAAGGCTTGTTTTAAACACTATGACTCGGGCTTCTTAAGATAAACTAAGTTCTTTAGATCATTCAAGCAATATGTTGAACAAGTAAAAAAAAGGTAAAATCTGTAGAACAAGAAGTAATTTAACAAATGGACCACAGGTAACTTAGACATGGGAAATTAAGATCTAGGCTAAAGATGAATATATCAAACTTACAAGCCGGTTGCTTTCATGAACAAATATGTCCTCCATGTTAAGAAAGAGTGATCTCCACTGACTCATGAGGTCAGATTCTAATTTTGAAGATTTATTGAAATTTCCCTGGCTATGTATGTCAGTCTGCTTCCCCCTGCCACTTTTCTGAACTAAAATGCTTGCTTCTTTCTGACTTTTCTTCAAAACTGAGAAAATGTCGAAAACAGTTATACAGAAATGAACATTCTATGTCACGATTACAACCAAAATAAAACAAAGGAAACTAAAGCAAAGATACCTATTCAACTTACCAGCTATTCGACCCTTGATATCCTGGTAATGAAGGTCCGACCAAATGTAAGCAGCTGATTATCAGTGTAAAACAAACATAACCCATTAGATAACACATGACAAGATAAACCATTCTTACCCACTAATGTAGCAAACAACAAATCCAAGATAAGAAGCTAGAGTGGTTACCTTTCAAGCAAAAAGAACAAGAGCAAGCTTTGAGCATATCAACACTGGCATTCAAATTCTCACAACCATCATTCTTAAGTCCCACACACCTCTCCAACTCAAATGACCTAGAACTCTGTGAGGACGCTTTAGGCAACTTCGACCACTCAATACACCCACCTTTACTCGAAGCCAATCTACCAACGCCCAGATCCATACCCTCATTCCAACTACTATCATTCAATGTATCCCCGACTTCCATAACACCTTCACCTTGCTCTAACGTATCATCACTATCAGACAAATCAAACCCTTCTTTAACCTCACTAACTTTGTCATTAACCGACACCAAATCCTCCTTTAATGTATCAATTTCCCCACTACAAGTAGGCAAAAAATGAGGGTTTGGTTCAAATTGGGGTCTTTTAGATTTCTTTTTGATCAAATTTTGTACACCTAAACAAACTTGTTTTGTAAAGTGGGTATCTGCTTCTTCTTTAGAATTAAACCCTAACTTTTGAAATCGACGAAAACCCTCTTTTAACTGATCGATTTGTAATGTCACCCAAAATCGGACGAACTTTGGGTTTCGAGTCCGTAAAATTATCTCCGTTCATTGTCCCCAATTCAGCTTAAATCTGTTTAAAACAAAAGAAAAAAAAAAAAGGGTTCATCCAAAACAAATGAAAATTAGAAGCAAAAATGGGGGCTTCAGAGATACTACTCACCTGTTGATCAGAATATGAAAATGAAGAGAAAATAAATTTTTAAAAAAAGTAAGGGTTTTGAAGAAAAAAAAAAAAGGTTTTGTGTTTTGGCGATTTGGTGAGGGCGGGAAGCAGGGGGAATTCGGAGCCTGACCCACGATTTTGAAAATGCGATTTTGGAGTTTATTTATTTTGAAGAGAAGTCAATTGATTGATTATTATTCGGTTGGTTGATTAATTTTAAATTAAATTATTTAAAATTAAATTAATCGAATTATATTATATTATTTTTATTAATTAAATCAAATTTTTTAATTTTAAAAATTACTTATTCAAATTAAATTTAATCAATTAATTTTTTGATTAATTGAATAATAAATATAATTAAATTTAAATTTAAATTCTTAATTTCTTATATTTTAAATAAATTAAATAAAATTATTCAATAAAATATTTAAATATCAAAATATTATATTAAAAACTCTAATAATTTATTAAATAAAATAATTAATTTCATATTTTTTTATATTCCAATTAAAATTTTAATTGATTTGATTTTCAAAATAAATTAATCAAAAATAAAAAATTTTTAAAATTATTTTTATTAACCGACTAAAATTAATTTGACGATCAACTGATTAATCAAATTATAATAATTTAATCGATTAATTAGGTTAAAATCAAATTATGAACACCCATTATATCAAGAAAATGACTGAATCTGCATATTTACTAGTCTTAGAACTCCTCCAGTCCAATTTTGAACTATGTGCAACAACTCTTTGAAATTTACAACCAAACCAAACCTTAATATTCTTGTATTTGATAATTACATAGCCTTGAAAAATCTAGTTGGCCTGCAATTTGAGGTATGCAATTCGAGCTGCTTCACTTTTCTGTCTAACATCCTCGTACATTTTCAGAGAGGCCTCCGAAAATTTGTTTAGTCTATCAAGAACGCGAGTCAAACTTGTTTGTATGCAGCAGGAGTTTGAAGATGCATCATCATTTGTATCACCATCTTTGCTCTCTGATTCTTCATCGTTTGCATCAACTGATTTCTCTTTCTTCGGCTGTTGTTCTACTTGTTGTTCCATTAGATGGCAAAGATCAGATAAGAAGGCTTTGATGGCAACACTAAGTTCCTCGGCTGGCAAAGCTTTTATTCCAGCTGACCACTCACGACACAGAACAAATATTGGTGGTCCGAATCCTAGGTATCGATAAGGAGAGAATGGATTCTTGTTCTTTGAACGTTCCTGTGGTTCCATGATACAGTTTTGCAGCCAACCATTCAGAGCTTCCAAATAGGATGCATGGCTATTGACCCAGTCTGTAAAGCTTACACCAAAGCATTCGATCTCTTGCTGAAGCTGAGCCATAATCTGCCTGCGTGTATCTCCCTGTGGAGCACCTGTTGTGTTCCTTGAATGGTATGCAAGTGAGATGGTGATATACTGTGAATGATGGCATTCAAGCATGGCCTTCCACATCCTTAGAAATCTGCAAAGACAAGCGTTACTTCAGTCAAGATATCAATGTCAATGATTGAGAATGCTTAAGATTTCACTGCATATGAGAATAAAGTTTTAGGATATTTTTACTCACCCCTGAATTAATTCTACAAGTTGTGGCTGCAACTCTTCATCTCTCATTTTTTCAATCCGCTTTGATATAGTATTAACAGAATGAAGTGCAACTCTAATCCGGGAGTGTAGATCCTTTATAACTGCCCGGGTTTTATCAATCACTTGAGTCCTAAAATCCTTAGCGAACTGGTGTCTGAGCTGATCACACTTCCGATCATACTCCTTCCTGATAGATTCACTGGCCTAAAGGTTGCAAAGAAGCAAACAAGTCAGAGGATTGAATGGCAATACTATTAATTAGATACCTTGAAAGCAATGCTACTAATACGGGGAGATTTTGATTAAAGATGCTTGTAAACTTTATTGATACTCCTAATGCCTTTCTACGAGTCCCACAGAGGAATGGATGTGCATGTTTGCTTACCTGCACTTTCCTAAAAATCACCTAACAGAGATTCTGTATGACCTAATCAAGCTTTGCATGAGGGATAAAAAATATAAAAAGGAAAACAAATTACTAAGGAGATCCTTTGTCATATGAATACATGTGTCTACCTGTGGCACAAAAAGGTCCCTATTTAGTTCTTGAGGAAAGATAATATTGAAATATAAAGCATATACCAAAGATTTTGTACCTATTACAGAAACTAAGAACCATTATTACTGTCATTTCGGAAACCAAATGAAAGAAGCATTAAGGAGTAACAGCATTTGTGGTGTCTGAAGTAGAAGAAACTAGGAGAATAGAAAGGATACACATATGAGGATAGAAGCTAATCATATTAGCCATCCTATGCCAGTCTTTTGGTGGGATTTTACATACAGAAATATCTGGAGATAAGAGATATGAACCTTGGAGTCCAAATATCTTAATTTGTCCTTAAAACAGAAAGAACATTTTAAATTTTGTGGTTTCACGTTCAATGCTCAGTAGCTGTTCAAAAAACAAGACAAATACATAAAACTAAGCTCCAGCCTCCAAGAGTTTGGAAACATTTCTTTATTAGTTGCAAAGAAGACAGTTAATTTATTTAGCCAGGAATCCTGCATAAACAATTGCTCAGGGAATTTTTAAACCTTCAAGTTGGTAAATAAGATTATACATGCCAATGTTCAACAATCATGTCATCAGCATTTAAAGCAATCCTGTAATTTAGATTGACTATGCTTCATTACAATAAGAAGTTTGAGCAAAAGATAAAATTTCCCTTGCATCAAAAGAGAGAAAAAGAAAGAGGAAACAACACGTGTCCAGTCACCCACGAAAGGTCTACCTCTAAAACAACACGTCGGCTAAGCCAAAAGGAAATTGTGTATGGGCATTATTGACAGGGAAAACACATAATGTAGTACATACAATGCAGTTGTTCGAGTGTCCTTCACATAGTATAATTATTCAAGCAACCAGATCATCTTTTCAACGTATATTTACCAAACAACAATCACAAAAAATAATAATATTCTCCTTTTAAAGTAGCACTCCAAAAGGTTCTTGTTAATGCATAGATTCTTGAGACCTCAGAATTAAATATATGTAAATGCTAAATATAAGCTCTGTAAGAATTTATTAAGCCCTTTTAAACTGCCTAAATTCTCGGGTGTAAAAGAAAAACAATCCTTTATATCTAAAACAAAGATATCTTATAGCCATGAAAACCAACAATGAGATTAGAACTTATACCACAAAACCAACATTGCTCTCTTGAATTCAAGTTCCCAATATGTGTGCATCAAGATATTCTCTGACAGAAAAAAAAAAAAAAGAGAAGATATGCACCACTAAAATATGTTTAAGACGTTTCAATCAGTACCTTTACTTCATCGTAGAGTTTTCTTTCCCAGGCATACAGTCTGTCCAATGTGGACGAATGACTACCAGCAATCATGCAGAACTCTTCAATAAAGTCACTTCCGCTATCATCAGCATTGTCTTTAGATGCTGAGGCTAGTGGATTCCTTGATGAAGAAGACCTCGAAGATGCTGACCTCTTCCAATGTATGACTTTAGTTACATGTTGTACTGGCTCTACAATATTATGACATGAGAAAAGAATGAAATATTCATAAGTGGTTACGTAAAAAAGTTAAACAAGTAAAAATCCACTAAGTTGAAAAAGATTATCCTACAATTGGCTGTATGCTAGACATATTATGACCATAACTAACATCTGGCAAATGAATACCACAATCAGAAAAGAAAAAAAAGAAAAAAAAAAAAACCAATCACTTAAAAAAGAAATAGAAAAGAGAAAAACAAACAGTTGAACCTTGCTTCTCTATGCTAAATAGCATTCAATTCATCATAAAGGTGGTCTACTCTAATCCCACCTTATGCAAGAATGCAAAGGCGTCTAATTTTTACAACTACCGCCATAAAATAAATGCAAAATATCAAGATTGTAATAAGCTCTTTCTCCAGTGAAAATTGACTTATTGTTCCAGCCCACAGGATAGATACAAAAACTTATTGTTCCAGCCCGCAGGATAGATACAGAAGACAGAACTTACCATGAGAAACAAAAGCAGTCTTTCCTTGGCAGCAAACAAGTTGGAAAGCTGCCAGAAAAGCTGAGGATCCCCCTGCAAGAATTAATTTATTCATAAGATGCTAGCAGAAGACAATTCAGTTGTATATGTAGCTAGCTTTGAATAGACAATAAAGGAGCCAAAATCCAAAGGTAGAAGTTCACAGAGAAATAAACTGTTCCTCAAGGATAAAACATTATTACCTTCAGCTTCGGAATATCCAACCCTGATTTTGTTTGACTCAAGCATCCTGGAGACTTCTCTGCCTGCTTCAGAGGCTCGGAAGAAACGATGCTCAATATCTTTTATGCTTGAAAGAAAATCCTTAGCTCTGTGGGTTATAAACTCAGAAGGGTCCTCTCTTTCTTCATATAAATCTTTATCTGCAGCAGCCTTTTCCCTCTTTGAACTTGATTGTTCAAGACAACCTTTGCCAATCAAAGTTTCACCTGGCCTATTTACATTATCTTCCTCACCTAGCTGCCTCACTTCCTTGTCATTTGTCTGCCTAATACTAGAATTTCCTCGCCCTAATCCAATAAAAAACATATCATGCTCCATTGAACTACCACGACTATGATTACGAGTTGCTGAACTATCGGACATTTTGACAGCATTTCTCCCAGATTCTTGGCACAAAATTCCTTCATTCCACGCATTATTTTCATCCAAACCACCATGATCAACCCCTTTGCTCCGAAACTCTCTCCACTCTCTCAAATCCTCAAAATCCATATCCACCCCATTATTCCCCACAAATCTAAAACTCTCGCTGTCATCAACAGGATCGAAAAAATCCCAAGAAGAACCTGACTCAAAAGGAGGAGGTGGAGGCGGCGGCATTGCCATTGCCAATGACTCATCCTCCACAAAACTACCAGTACTAGGATTAACCTTAACAGTCACAGCAGCACTATTCCCTGCTCTCATGTAACTCAAATTCGCCGTTTCCGGCGAAATGGGGCTCTCATTATTCAATGGTGAATCAGAAACCTCAGCTCCTAAATGAGAAGGAGATGGCGAAGGGTAGGAGGAATGGGAAGGTGTTTTGTCAAGCTCAGTAGCTGAGGTTGATAGAGAAGACTCTATCAATATATCAGCTTCAGCAAATCTTCTTAAAGCGATGCCAATATTTCTAAGAGATTGAATATAAGAAACATGTGCAGCCGCAAGAGCATACCTCGATTCGATAGCTAGCTTTATGAATCTCCTTCTTTCTTTACATAGACGCAAGGCTTCATTTTTATCACCTTTTGAGTTTCCACAACCCATTTTTTTTTTTTACCAACAACAAAATGACCCAGTTCACGAAATTAACACATTTTGCTAATGACTAAAGGATAACATAAAAAAACCCAACTTTGGGTTAAAATTAAGGAAGTCATTTTAGTATAAAAAACCTATTTTTTGTTGCAGAAACTCTCTTAAAACCAAGAAAACAGAGGAGAACAGAGCAAATTTTTCAGGCACAAAAGCAGAAGAGTTACAACACAAAGGCAGAAGAGTTACAACAAAGCGAGGAACCCAGTTGGAGAAAGGCTTTTAATGACGATTGAGACAAGAGAGGGAAAACGAAAACGAGAAATGAAAGAGAGAACAGTGGGAAAATAGCAAAAGAGAAAACAGAGGACTAGTAGTTTTCAACTAGACAGACAGAGAGACGAGAGAAGAAAACAGAGGCAATGCAGAAGAAAGAGTGGTTGGAGAGTAATAAAATCAAGCACATTGATGGATGAAAGCTAAGAAGAAGCCAATCCGAATTCCATCTTTGAAACTCAGAAGAACCTGAAGCAATTTGGAGATTTTTTTGTGAAGAAGAAAATGAGAGCAAAATGACAAAAAAAAAAAAAAAAAAACAGAGATAAAAGTGGAATCTGATACAGTGGATAGTGAGAGAAGGAGCCTCCCTCGTTTTATGTGTTATTTCTTCATTTATTCCATTTCATAAAATCAAAGAAAAAATAAACAGAGGTCTCCAACTTTAAATAATCAGTTTTTTTTTTGTAAAATATATTTTTTCCAATATTTTTGTTAATAAATATCTTAAGAACATAAAAATTTATACTATTAAATACAGAAATTAGCTATTAGTGTATTTTTTTTTTAAATCCTAAACTTATAATTTTTTTGAGGAAACTATTTTGATATTAATATTTAATGTTACATAAAATATTTTTTTTGAAATATAAAATTATTATTTTTAATAATAACCCAAAATAAAAATGTTTTAGAGCAGTTGTTAACCAAAAATCTTTTTATTATTATATAAAATTTTGAGAAAATTAGCATTTTATTTTTACAGAAGAGATTGTTCAAAGTGTGTCAGATGAGAAGAATACCTGCTTTTTTCCGCATTGGGAAATGTGCTTATTGGCAGATTTGCCCTTTCATGTTTCCGGATGTACCCTCTAACGGCTCCACTAAAATCCGGGTTTTTGGGGAGTTATGTTTACCTTTTCTCTCCTTTTCTGTATAAAGCCAGCTAAATAAAATGTATTTTCAACTCTCTCATAAGCAATGATTTGATTTTTTTTTTATAGTCTTTTTTTTAATTTTAATTAATTAATATTTTAAATATTTTGTTAAATTAAGCCTTTACAAAAATATATTTTAAAATATCTTCATTCAAAATTTTTAAAAAATATTTTTATGTAATTTAATTAATAATTTATTAAAATTTTGGTTAATGAATGTTTATAGCATTTATTAATGATTATTTAATTATTAATATAAATTTTTATAATTAATGTACTATTTTTATCAAATTCAAGTATATAATTTCATCTTAAATAGTGTTATTATGCATTGATTAGCATTTTTTATATACTAAAAAAATGCAGTTAAAATTGAAATTTTTTATGAGCTTCTTCTACCTAGTGGGTGACTGACTGTCAAATTCTCCACTAGCAGAAGTGGGCTTTGGTTTTACTAAAGAATATCTCATTAGCGTTGGTTTTACTAAAGAATAGCTCATTACTGAATATTCTCTTGTTTTTTTTTATTTTTTTTATGAGACTGTGATTGGAATATTCAAGAATATCAAAAAAAAAATTTATTTTTTAATATTAGTAATTTTTTTTTTACTTTTATACAATTTTATTTAAACTTTTTTACCTTGCTATTTTTTAATTAATTTTCATCTATTTTCTTAATTTAAAATTGTTAAAATTTTTGTAACTTATTAATTTCCATGTACATTAATCATTCTGAAACAAAATAATAGATATCTCCATTATTTTTTAAGGAAGAAGATCCTTATTTGATGAATTATTTCACTTTATTAGTAAGAGTAACTTATTTGTTTTTAAATAAGATCATAATTTAAAATAAAAAATAAAATACATATCCTATGCATTAAAATTTTAAATTTATTAATATTATCTTTTAAAATAATTTTATAAGTTAATTGAATTAAACTTCGTGTTAAAATGACTTATCATATTTTTTACATAAAGAAAATGTCTTAACAAAAAATTTATTAAAAAGACCAAAAAAGAAAGAAATGAGTATGGGTTTGAGATTGGAATTGGGATTGGGATTGGGATTTTTTTTTTTTTTAAAGGGTACAGAATTTTACTGATCAGGTTGGTAGTGGAAGTGGGCAATTGTCAATGATTATTATTAATGGGTAGATTGCTGTTAATATCATCTTAATTAATTGTTATTACAATTGAATGACATAAATTTTTATTGTTTTTGGTTTTTTTTTTTCAATGGAGATGGGTAAAAAGAGGAGATTGAATGATACTTTACCCAAAAAAAAAAAAAAAACCAATTTAATTGAAGAGACAAAAAAAAAGAGTAAACAATTGTAGAAATTTTTGTGAAAAGTGGAAAGAAACACATGTTATGCACAATCCTATGGTAGATTTTGAAAACCAAATAGGAATTACTAGGTGGCTTGGTAACTATAGTTTTACAAATGTAAGTTAACTTGAACATAGTTTTAATGGTAATTACAATTTAAATATTCTAAATGGTAGTTAATTTTAAATATTTTTGGTAAATTTTCACTACAAATATTGCAATGTATCTTTTTATACTAATTAGGCATCTTTTTTTATATCTTTGAATTAACTTAAAAGTACTAAGCAACTTGGAAAAGTAAAAGAAAAGAAAAAAAAAAAAAGGGTTTTAACTTCATGCATTCACATGCAATCCACCATGCTATGTCTTGTAGGTTACCCTTTTATATAGGACAAGCAACTATGAAAACTTGAATAGTTAATTCTTCTTTAATATTCCTCCACCTTTTTGAGGGAAATGAAGTGTTTAATGCATGACAGTTTGCATTTTTGGATGGCTAATGCTTGTGTTTTAATTTACTTCACCTTATTTTCTTAGGGTGAAAGATATAGTACAATAATATGCTTGCTTCAATAATGGAAATTGAACCAAATTTTTTCAAGATTGTGCTAAATGCATTAAAATATGAAAAAGTGTAGACATAAATAGTGATGGATTGCATAAATAATGCTAATTTTAAAATAAAAATTCAGATAGTGCTACATGCATATTGCACTCTCCACTCATTTATTTGTAAGTTTTATTCTAAAGATTTAAGTGAAAAGTATTAAAAAATTTATGGATTATAATAGAATTTTAAAAATAAAATTTTATGTGATTGTATTAAATGAGTATGAATTTTTTTTTTTTTTGCTTGATCAGAAGAATTATTGAGTAAATTGCATCACACATTCATAACTTTTATGTAATATTTTATTATCATTAATGATTTTTTAAAAAACATTTTAAATTCATCTATTTCATTAAATGTATTTGATGAGTACATACATCTAAGTGCATGTACCGTTTCACTTTTCATATTGGTCTATACTAACCTGTCCCTAGTCGTATTGACCATTTCAACCTATATCGATCCTATTGGTTGGTTATACCTTTTTTTTTTTTTTTTCATTTTCATTTATGTTATTATTTTAATCAATACCTAATACATGTTCATTAAATTAGGTTCTTGAATAATAATTTACTATAATTTCTTATTATTTTTATATTTATTTGAGATTTGAAATTTTTGAATATTAAATATTTATGGTTTTTAAAATTTTTATTTGCATATAAACATTTAAATGTGTAAAATTGAGGGGTGTGTTTGTATGTATATATTTTACGGATAAAATATTAGATAATGCTAGTAAACTAGATCGAAACACAACGATACCGGCGTGAACTAATATCAAAACAAAATTAATACATACACTTATATGGTATTAATTATTTTGATTAACATGTCATAGTTCTTTAAATTTTTAATGATAATGGATGGAAAGGATGAAATTGTAATATTACTTTCAAAAAAAAAATTAGATCAATTATAACGCTTTTATAATTTCCAATTAATTCATGTTGATTTACATATTTCTGATGTGATTTATGGGTACTTCCCTTCAAATTCTTTTGATGTAGTTTCCTTTTTCGTTTTCAATTTTGGAGTGATATGACCCGTGCTTTCTTTTGTCGTCTTTTATTAAAAGGGGGGAAAGGCATGCTAATCAAGGTTTTTTTTTTCTTTGCACTTTGAATTATACTAATCCTTGTGACATTTATGGAGGATAGCAATGCATACTTTCTTTGCATTTTTTTTTTGTACAAAAAAATTTACGAAAAATAAGTTAGGTTATTCAATTCTCCAAATTAAAATAAAATATTTAATAAGTAATAATCGAAAATTATGCATTTCAAATGATCAATTCTAATTTTTTACATCAAAGTGAACGATTATGACCAATTTAGCCGATTTTTTATTTGTTTTCTTTGCACATCTTTAATCAGCCTGCATGCATTTATCTTTGATTACTTTGGGAAATGAACTTTCAATTCTGCTTTTCTTTTTTCCCTTTGCGTTTTAGGACGACGACCTTATTTTATTTTTCTTTTCGCAAACTCCAATGATTTTCTTGTCATTGGATTGGTTCTAAATATTACTAAAATTGATTCGATGTTAGAACTTGGAACTGCAAGCTCATCATCATGCAATGCTTATCGCAATAATGGTTTTTTCTTTCTCACTTTTGTGTTCTATATATGAGTTGTCATCGAAGGTGATCTTTTATTATTATTATTTTTTTAAACCTCACCAATTAAAGCGCTTATCTGATCAAAACCATCTTAATCCACCAACAAAACCTGTATGCAATAGATAACCATAGGGAGTTGGGACATCTGGGATGCTGGGACTGGTAAATTTGCCATAGGAATTGGGATAATAAGTTATAATGCAGTTTGTTGGTGTATTATTTTATTATTAGTGACATTGTGCTTGCTAGTTTTAATGGTAAGGATTTGTCATGTTAGCTGGTGGCCTATAGTTTTGGGGCTGAAGAAAGAAAAGAGTAACTAATGAGCTACAGTTTGACAGTTTGGAGGTTGATGAGATGAGTTGCCAATTCTTTTAACTTGAAGTCCATTGGGGAGTTCGATTAGATGCTC